ATTTCTGTCTTTGATAGATTTCCGGTGTGCGTTCATTCTGGTGCGCAGTTGTTGTTTGGTCTCTCCTACATATCTCCCATCAGGGCATTTGGTGCGTTGGATGAGGTATACTACATTTCTGGAGGTGCAGCTGTAAGATCCAGGGATGCTGATGGCTCTGTTGTGGGGTGTAGTAATAGTGGGGGTGGTGGAGATGTGTTGGCAGGTTTTGCGTTTCTTGTCCTGGCACGGTCTGGATCCTTTTGGTGTGTTCTGGGCTTGAGGAAGTTTGCTTCTGGTGATGAGGTTGGCAAGGTTTGGTGCTTGTTTGAAGGCTAGGATGGGTGGCTCTGGGAAGATCTTTTTAAGAATAGGGTCTCTTTCTAGTATGGGTTGCAATTTTTTGAGGATTTTGAGAATTTAGAGGTATGAATTAGTATGGCAAATAGTAACAACAAACAGGGTGCATTTACACATGCTATATTATACCTCTGGCCTCCATGCCAGCCAGAGGTGTGCTCTCTAGCTGCTTGGTGATGGCCATCTTAATTGTAGCCTGGACATCTGGGCTGCAGTGCTGTGGCAAGCCAGTGCGAGGGAGTGGTGGGGGTCACACCCTCCTGACTAGGTTAGTGAACCTGGCTGTGAAGGTTCTCTTTCCTTTCTTTATTGGGTGGATCGCATCTCTTCCTAGCAATCCTTCTTGGAACAACATCCTATGGCTAAAGAAGTCAAAGCCCTGTTGGTGACACCAAAGGTGCAGCCATGCATTGATCTGCAGAATGTATCTGCTCCCACACAGGTCCTTCTCCTTGACCCAAAGGATTGAGAATGCTATTGGACCCACTGTCCCTCTCACTCTTGCACCCAGAGCCCTGTAGTCACTTTTGATCTGCTCAGGGTCATTCCTGGCAGCATCATTTGTGCCCACAAGGATGAGCAGCATAGGGTAGTAGTCAGAGGGTCAGATAAATCTCAGTAATCCCTCTGTGACATCTTGGATCTGGGCTCTGGGCAAGCATCAGACCTCCTGAGACAACAGATCAGGCCGGCAGATGGATGCCTTCGTCCCCCACAGAATGAAGTCTCCAATCACCATCAACTCACTGCTGCCTCTTGGTGGCAGTGACCTTGATCCTCTCAGACTTGGGGATCCTTGGCTTGGCTTCTTCCACCAATGGAACATTTTCCTTCTCCTTCATTGCAAGGGCTCCATTTGTTTTCCAGGCAAATTGCTGCAGGTCAAAATGAAAACTTCTGCTTGCTGCCAGAGGTCACAAGTTCCCAGTTTCCACCTTCCTGGGAGTCCATGTCCTCTTCCTTCTCTAGCACTGCCTCTGGCAGGTCTTCTTGACAGTACTAGAGGTCTCCTCCAGCATTAAATTTATGAAGTCCTCATGGTGGAGAATGCTTTGGAGCCTTGCCACCTCCTCCTGTAGCTCTCTTGCTTGCTCCCAGAGGGACACCACCAGAAGGCACCACTCACATTGCAGGCACTCCCCCACCTGGCTGTCACTGGAAATAACCTGCAAGGCACAGTCTCCATAGTGCCAAACCAGGACCTGGGTGGAAACCTCAACAGTAAGCAGTCCTGCCTGGACAGACACCTCACAGGTACAAGCAGAGGATGAGCTGGAAGTGACAGTGGCTCTAGCATTGTGACGTCCTGCAGCCATTTCTCTGGGTCTCTTAATCAGCTGCCTCTCTCTTCCTGCCCCTCTTTCCAAGCAGACCTTCCCTAGCAAACTGCCCCCTAAACTGGTCTGTTCGCTGCTCCTTGGTCCAAAAAGGTTCCCTTTTTCCTTTTACAGTGAAGGAAGGTGAGAGAGTTTCTAGAAAAACACCCTAGTGAACTCTCCTTTGAGCTCCCCCTCACTTTGAACCCTATTTAACTAAGGGGCTTAAATACTGGTCCAAGTGCTGAGTTTGCTGCGTAAACATCTCAATTTATAGGGGCTTCTATACAGCACAATGAAGTGCTGTATGGAGATATACAAGGTAGCTGTGATAAAGAAGGCAGCATATCTATATTACCACAATACTTCACTGGAGATAATATATTGGATAATTAGCTCAGGCAGGTAGCCCATTGACATGGCTATATTTTTTCCGGGTTTTTCTACATGGCACTACATTTTCTTCAGTAGACATACCTAACAGTTGGGCAAAATTCTTAGGTCTTATGCATAGGTGATTCCAAAGTCTATCCTAGACTCTAGGAGAAGGGTGCTCAACCCCCAGCCCACAGAGTATGTAATTCATCCAATGGGTCTTCCAATGGGTCTTTAAATGTGGCAGCTGGGGAGTGGTTGCAATTAACACTGCCATGCAGGGGTGACTAGTGCCTCCTAAGTCTGGGGGGCACAATTTGTGGGTGGGCCTGAGGGTGGGTCAAAAGCCCCATATCCACTCCTATACTTCTGTGCTGCGGCTTGCTGCCTGTCCCCCCTCCCCCAACCCGCCACCTCCCATGTGGCAAAAAAACTGCCCCATCCTGAGCAGTGCTGAGTCAGGAGCCAATCTCAGGGGGGACACGTGTCCCCCCATGCCCTTCCCTACCAGTCACCTGTACTGCCACAGCTTCCCCACTGGCATATTTCCAGGGCTCCAAGGGGCTGGATTGGACCCTTGCTGGGCTGGCCCTGTGTGCAGGGATCAGGCCCTGTTTTCATGCAACTGAATCAAGCTGCACCCAATCCAACTACACAGAAACTTCCAGGCCAGTTGCATGGGAGCAGGTTCTGGGCAGTCTGTCTCTGTGAGGCTGTGCTGGCATAGCCTTTTCCACATGGCTACACTGGGTCTAGCCAGGCCATATCCACATGGGGACATTGGGCCCTTGCTGGGCCAGCACCACTTAATGGATCAGGCCTCAAACTGGATCTGGCTCATGGATGGACCTGTTACTGCTTATTTTACTCACAGGCTGAAAAGCTGGGGCACCACTGCTCTAAATAAATGGACAGATGCCCATGTCAGCTTAAACTCAACCAGCTCCAATGTGAGAAGGAATCTAGCAACTACACCATCGAAGTCTGCTATTGTTAATTTAATATGTCAGGATAAGTTAGTCCCTGTGGAACCCTATACCAAAGCAACACTGCTTCCAGGACCCATGCTAACTCAGAGAGAGTTGTCTGCGCTTCATTGCAGACTGCAGGGTACTAAGATAGTACCTATCTGCAATTTAGATTTGATAGAGGAGTAAAAGACAGGATGGAATATGATGCTTCTTGGAAATGGTTAGAAAATAGGGTGTTAGCCTCCTGGGAATATTTCAGATAAGGAGAACCAGGAAAAATCAAAATACTGTGTTTGAAAACCAAAATACTTCCACTAAGTAGAACCTCTGGGAGTTGTAACCAAGGTGCCTCATTCTCCCTTTCTCTTCTATAAGCCTGGCCTGACTATATCTTCAGGGATGCAACAATGTCTTCCTTAATTTGGGGAGATTTCTATATGTCTCTGGTATCTGAGCCCCTTGAAATTGTGATTCCAAACTTTTCCCTATAGCCATAGGAAAGTATGTTAAAAAAATCAGTTTGTCAAGATTGCACAACCTCATGTTTTCCTTTTAGCTCCAAAGGTGAAATCCTGTGCCCACTGGAATCAAGACTTCTGATAAGCTAGCAAAGGCTGCTGCAGCAAATGCACACCACTGCATATGGAGATATGCCCTATCCTGTATGCACCCAGACAGGCAGCATAAGCCAAAGTAGATTGATTCTAAAACCTGGCAAAAAAAAATAAGTTTGTACAATTTTCATTTTAACAAGTAGTACAATGCTTTTAGCAGTTGGTTTTTGGGTTTAAATGCTAATGTATGAGTGATTCTATGGAGCAAGATTCTAATAAGTGATAAAGACTCTACCCCTAACTATAGTAAAGTGCACCCATTTCTTTTCTCACTTGTATTCCATAAAAGCTCCAGCCACTTGCCTTCACATGTAAAGGGACAATGAACATGTATTCATACAACAGATCAGTATCTGATCCAGCACATTCTTCCCTTAAACTTTCCCCTTTACCTTTATAAAAGCAACAATTTCTGTCATGCACAGGAGATAAGAATTTCTTGTAACTGGATTAATCCATCAAAGGAAAAAAATCCACTCCCTGGATTGTATTCTCATCTGTTGTTAATATCTAGGACTAACTAATGTAAATGAAATACATGAATGAGAGAAAAAAAGATAATTCTCCTATTATTTTCCTCAGTGTGTTATTTTAGGCAAGTAAAATTAATGATAATCTTGCTTTTCATTTCTTTCAGTCTTTTCTCTGTACAGATCCTTAATGTGACACTTCCAAAATGTTGAAATCTCTTGGGCACCCTCATGGTTAGCAAAAAATCCAGACATACCAAAATAATAGCATACTCTGTTGACAGAGTATTAAATCCTGACACCAAAGAAATCAGTGTGAGCTTTGCGACTGATTTCAGTGGATCCACTCTTTTGCTCCTGGCATTTAAGAAGGCAACATAAACACTTTGTACAGAAAAAAAACATTAAAATACCATTCAGTACCTTGGATTTAAAGCCCAGTTCTATCATTTCCACCTAAAACAAAATATCCCACTAAAGAAAAAAAAATAGTTATGAGTCAAATTTCTCCTAATAATTAACAGGATGGGAAAATAAGTGGATATAAAGAGACACACTAGGAAAAATTAAGAGAAAACAAATGTTAAAGAAATCCACAAATAACACTGAACTAACTGCACAGGGATTGCTATCCTCTTGTACATGCTGTGTATTAGATTCATTAATAAGGTATTTCATTGCATGATAAGTAATTACATACTCATCTAGGAAGGGGGTGTAGTAACAGCTAAATGACTTGTTTCAGGATAGCATTTCAGAATTTCCTATGACACAATGCCTGGTGGTAGATCACACATGCCAACCAGGGAGAAGGGAGTATATAAGGAAGACAGGTTACATAGCTCAGACATCAGAAGCTTTTGCAGACAACAGAGCTCATTGCTCCTTAGACCCAAAAGACTAGTCAAGAAAGCAAAAAATCTTTTGTACAGTCATGAACTGCAAGGTTTTTTTGACTGTCCTGGCTGCCTTCCTGATCTCAGTAACTGTGACTGAAGGTAAGTGAACCATTCATAAGACTCAAACGAAGAAGGTATTGCTTACGCCTATGCACACAAAGATGTTCATCAGTGCAGAAAGTTTTAGGCTAATTTAAAAATGATAATTTATTTTAAATATTTTCAAGGAGTCTTTGTTTTCAACAGTTTCTACTTATTCAGAAATATAAAAATCAGTAGCATTTCATTAAATTTGCTGATACCTGGTGGAAAATTTTGGAGAGACAGTCGGCTCCCTGTAGAAAATGATGGTTCTGTGTCATGTTTACTGGATTACTTTCCTGTAATTCTTAAGGCATTGAATTTTTATTACGTTTTTTAACTATAGCACTCACTCCTTCCCTCTCAGAGAGCAAAATCCTATTTATGACATCATCATTGGTTGCCATGGGAATGAGTATGCCATCTCAAAGAATTAGGCAACTTAAGGGAAGAATAAACAGTTGGGACATGTCTCAAATGTCAAAGAAAAAGTGTTGAATCTATTATGCTTGGTGAAAATGCAAAAATAAAATGATGTAGCTAGACACAGAGGCAGATCAAATCTGAGTATGTTTAAAAAATGACTTGGAAGAACCATCAATTTTTACATTTCCTTGGAGCAGCTACTGGTTTAAAAATGAGCCTTGGATATTTAAAGTAATTTAACAGATGAGTACAACCATGTCCTTTCTGGAAAGAGGATTGTTCAAGGGCTATGGAACATGAACAGAATTTGAACAACCAAAAAGCCAAGAATAATAAATCCTTGTAATCTAAAGTAACTTTCGGTGATTTATACATGCAGAAAATGAGATTGACCACAATTCCTTTCTTATTTTATAGGAATGGTCCTGCCACAGAATAGGAATGAGCTCCGATGCCACTGCATAAACACTCATTCCAAGTTCATCCCTCCAAAACTGATTCAGGATGTGAAGCTGATCCAAAGTGGGGCTCACTGCCAGAATGTTGAAGTCATGTAAGTTCTTCTCCAAACTCTAATGGTTATTTAGGCTAGGGACAAAAATTACACATTAACTGGTATAAGTGATCAGAAACCAGTTCAAATCTGTAACACAACAAAAGTTCAGTGCACGTAAATGACTTGCAAAATGGTCAAACCCGATTTAAGATAAACCTGGGTGGATGTAGCATCAGATTTAACCAATTTATATTAAATTGGCTTATTGAACTTTTGTCCCAGATCCCCTCCAGATTCAAGTTAATTCACAGTCCCCCAGCATCCCAGGATGCTTTGCACTTTCCCTGCAAACTCCACCTTCACTGGGTGGGTAGACTAGCCTTGGCCCAAGGTGTCTGCTCCAGCAGATCGGGGACGTATGTTCTAGTACCCACCCCCGACACTTTTGGCCTGGGCCTCTGCAGGCATGTGGCCGCATTATTTCTGGAATCAAAAGTGAATATCTGTTCACTTGCTTATCGGTTTGATCTATGTAGTCTTAGACTAACCTGTAAAAATTAAATTGACTCAGCCTTGGGTTTTTTGACTGTCTGTACTTCGCCTTAATGAGAGGGAAACTTTGCATTGTGTAGGAGCAAGAGGTTTCATAGTGTTCAGAAAGGCAATTAGGTCTTGCACTGGGAGTCTCCACCACAGTAAGATTTAATTTTTCTGTTGGGAGACATCATTTTCAGTACTGCATTGTGCTTCTCACAGCCACTTTCACCCATTCTTTCTTTCCTTGGGGTGGGTATTTTACATCTTCATGGAGTACCAAAGATATTAATTCAAGGTGATAGAACCTGCCTTATAAGGACCAGGGCACAGCATGTTATATAGGGACAGCAGTGGAGCTATGCCAATTTATACTTTCCACAGAAATAGTCCCAAAAAGAAACAAAACAAACAAAAGATGAAAGATGTCATGCGAGTAAAGAGAATCAACCAGAAAGATTTATGACCTTTGTTTCCTTTCTTTGCAGTGCCACTCTTCAGGATGGCAGAGAGGTGTGCTTGGAGCCCGCTGCTCCCTGGGTGATGCGTGTTGTGAAGGCGATCCTGGAGAAGTGAGTCATTCATTCTCAGTTCTGACTTAACAGAAAATATGTAATGTACCATCTGGACAGATTTTTTTAGCATAGTCTGCTTAAATGTTCACCTCCTCAGACAATAGCAATGCTTTCCAAGAATTCTCTCTCTCTAGCACAAAAGGGCAACCCTGTGGTCAGATTAGATGCCTAAATTTTAGTCCCAGCTCTGTCCCAGATTTTAGGTAACATGATAAGATAGTGATGTAGTGATGAAGGCCATATGTGCCGTGCACCTTCAACTCCACTGGATGACACTGAGTCCCACAAACACATCTGGCCTCTGAAAATCAGGCTGTCAGTGACAAATTTATCCTTGCTTGCAATGGTGTATGTACATAGTCTGAAGTTAGCGGGATCTCACAGAGGCAAGTAGAAGTTGTATCAGGCCTCATAGGTTCTCAAAGGAGAGATTTCAAAATTGCAGCGCAATTAAACATGACATACATCAAATAAGGTGTGCCTTAGTGTCTCTGTGCTCCAGCTTCCCAATGGCTGAAAAGGCCAGAAACAGACTTGCACATGAAAACACAAAATCTTAATTGCTGAGTTCTATCAGTTCCAACTGATTATATAACTGACCAGGTTTCTAAACATCCGATTCTTCTCCCCTCTTTGCAGGGCTGAATCCAACATTGAGACACCGGTGTAAGAAAAGCCAAAGAAGAAAAGTCTCCTTACTTCTCCTGAAGGAAATAGTCCAGTGAAAATGACAGTCAGCCTGCACCTGCAGCCTGTCCACCTTCTCTATCAATGTGTTTCTGTGCAGACTGGAGTTAGCTGAATCTATTTCATATTTATTTGTTTATTTAACAGCATCATTTTGCTCTGAATATTTCAGGTGCCAACAGGACAGGTTGCCCACTGAACCTGAAAACATTGGATGGGCAATGTTTCTGATTTGGGATTTTTTGAGGGAAACAAAGACCCTTCAGCAGCCACTTAAGCTGATCCCAATTGTACCAGTGCCATGAACTTGCAGTATAGCTGAATCTGTGCTGCACCTTGCCTTTCTGCTAGGTTATCTGACTAGCAGTGATTCTTCACCCCCTGTGGTGCTTTGAAGCCCGAGTTGCATCAGTGTGAGGCTCTTAACTTGTATTTGGTGGCTTTTAGAACTGAAGCACCAAAATTCATAATACAGAATTTTTCATGCTTTCATTCTTAAGAGATTATTTATTATGCTCTAGCACCATTTTACATGTCCAAATATACGTTGAGAAACAAAAAGAGAAATGTACATGTAATGTCATATTTAAGTAGGAAAAAAACCACACATTTTATTTAAGTTATCTGGATTCAACTGAAGGTTTTTATTAAATGTTATTTTTCTAATATATTTTAAAGAAATATTTCGTTCTATAAGAATAGTTCCTATTCTTTCTTTTTGTAAAAATTTAACTGGTTTGCTGTTTTATTTATTTTTAATTTATTTACTTAAAGCAATTCATAGAAAATATTGATACTCAAATGCATAAGAAGCTCTTGCTCCTATTTTTTAATCACTATGTATTTTGGTAGTAAATTATTTTTATAATAAAATGTACAAGTAAAAATGAATGGGTCTCCTCTCTTATTTCAGTGATCTTTCCAGTCTTGCCCCAGTTTCTGGAGGTGAGCTGAACTAAACTGAAGACTTAGAGCAAGTGGTATGAATACCACAACCTAGCTACAGTAGATATTTGGCATATTCCAAAGAGATTGCCAGACATGACCTCTGTGAATGGAAGTAGAGGGGTGAACTCTAGGGAGAGCCACCTTCTCTTTTGGATCCATGATGTGCAATTTAACCAAATTTCTCCCCTGTGTGCTCCATGGGATTTGACCTCAATGATGCTGAAAGGGGCATGCAAGCTATTGAGAAATGAGACATGGCTGCTCCTTATAAAGTGGTGTCTCCAACCTCACTCACAGGCAAATTTAATAAATGAATAACACCTTCCTGAGTCAATGACAAGAGGGGAAGCTCTTGGCATTGTGGTCCTAATGCCAATTGCACCCCGAAGATACTGAAAACAGTTTATGCAGAAAACTTGCCAAGCACAAGAGCAAGTGGAGTATCCTGAATCAGTAATCAACAGGTTATTTCCAACATTCTTCCTCCTCCTCCTTCTCATTCTCCTTTGGCAGACTTCAATATACTCTGATGTCTATGTGGTTATAGTTATACCTCCATGAAATTTAGTATTAAGTGTCATGACAATTCACAGATACAGAGTGGTGGGAAAAGAACCTTTAGTCTCAGGAATCTCAAGAAACTAAAAAAGATCCTTAAAACAGTTACACTGACTGAAGGCCTGACTTTAAAGAGCATCCATACATCACACTAATTGACAAGGATAGATTAATGAAAGGTAACCTGACAACATGCCTCTCTTCTGGATTTGTTGTAATGGAAATTCTTTGGATTGAAGTTGGGGAGTGATCCCATAAAATCAAGCATAACTTGCCAGTATGTCAAAAACCTTAGCCCATGTCTGAGTGCAAAGACAAGGACCCCCAGCCAGGCTGGGCACACACAGTAAAACTGAAAGATATTTTCCTTGATAATTAGTTGTGGTGTATTAATCCCAGACTCTACACAGTTAATACATATGTGCATCATCTTGGAGAGAGGTTACAAAGGATTTATCATTGAAAAGGAGGCCTGTGTGGGACTGGTTAGAATCTCACCAAAAAATGCTTCTCTTAGTCCCAAATAGTGCTTCAATGGGTTAGGCTCCTACAAGGGATCAGGGATGGATAGGTTGATATCAAGTCCATAGCTCTATTACCCTCTGAACTGGCCTGCATGAATGGAGTAGAAAGAGCCATGGTCTCCTTCTTTGTAACACTTGAGCTGTTTCTGGATTATAGGCACAGGGAGGCAAGCCAAATTCCTTGGGTAGGCTTTCACTGAATTGTGACTGAAAGATACCCTCTGTAAATGCAAAAGCCTTATACCCTTGGGTTTGGCAATTGTTCAGAGGTTTGCTAGAACTGACCATGGAATGCATTCCCATGTTGCATGCTCTCAAATGCAATCATTCTTATAAAAGTAATGCAAATCCACATGCTCAGATCACATTTTTTTCCATTTCAAATTTGCTGTAGTGTTCCTGGGGCAAAGTATCAGCTGCTTCTGTTATCTGTTCTAAGAGGTTGCAAAAGAAAACAGACATTTGTGACCTAGCTCAGTCTGAAGCTGGTTGCAGTGAAGGCTAGTTGGGTTGCACATCCACAATACGCCGGGCCTGTTGCAGTCAGGCTTCTGAAAACCAGTTTAGTTTTACAGTGGCTTTCACCTATACGGTGAAGAGTTACTTGGTATATGGAATGTCAGTTCATTTTCCTGTTACCTGGGTAACACTACAAAGAAGACTGGACTGCAAGCCTCCTTCAATGTCTGGGTCCATTTCACTGCCTGAAACTGATAGTCATTGGTCCTGAGTAGAGCAGCTTGTCTGTCACACCTTCCTCCTTCCCATTCTAGAATGGTAGGAATATTAGACAGGTTATACAACTGCTAGTATACCAGCATTTTAAAATCCTCATACCAAAATGAGTGCGGAGGTGCAAGAATAAGTGAAGACATAGCCCATATTTCTAGAACTTGATATCTCTGGTAATAATGACTTCCTCATTAAATACAAAATTGTTGTCCTGGTCTTATAATCAGTTTATGAAATAAGATCATCAACATCCTCTTTTAGTACAAATTCCTGTACTGCCAAGACATTCTTTTACCAGCTAATCAGCAGCAACCAGCTTCAGAGTGTATTTTGAGTCAATGTTGTATTAACAATTCTCTTCCTGGGTCTGTCATGAGGAAGAAAATTGTGGGAAGAGGGATGGTAAAAGGAAATCTGAAAAGAAATTCTGGAAGTCTTAAGGCAATGATTCTTAACTAGGGTGCCACCAGATCCTTTCAAAGGTGCCCCAAGATGTGAGAAGATAAACAGATAGATTAAGCAGATAAGCACAGGATCAGATTTGCCCCTACAAGAATGATTGCCCACTCCCAATGCCCAGCCTTTTTGCAAGGAGGTAAGCACTGTTACATATAAATTCGTTTCTGAAAATGGGGGCCATTCAATTCTCAAAAGTTATGGGAGGGTGCCTCAAATCCAGTGAGGGGTGCCTAGAGGGATGTCTAGAGTCCAAAAAGGTTGAGAACCACTGTTTGAGGGTAACGCCACAAAAATGTATGGCCACAGGTCCTTCTAAACATAAACAAGCCTGCCTAGTAGTAACTCAGAGTGGAGAAAGATAAACCAGATGAAACATTTCAAATTAAAGCTGACTTGGAAGCACTTCAGAAATGGAGTGTTTCAGCTTCAGACAGACATACAGGGCATTTATACACATGCTCAGGGAGTATATAAACATACACAGTGTTTATACACGTGCGCCAGGAGTGTAATTAAAGCGCCTGAAGTGTCACTTGTATCAGCATCCCTGCACCGAAAAATGGCGGCAGGGGCTCTTTAACTAAGGCTTGTTGAATGAGCTTTAGGGGAGCTGAGGAGATGGAAATCCCATCCAATGCTGTCCCATCTAATTCACCTCCACTCTCCTGGAACATCCCCTTTTCTCCTGCCAGAAAAGGAAGATCAGATGTGGAGGGCTACATGGAGCATTAGGATTTTCAGAGCCAGAATCCTGGTTGCTGTAGTAGGAGTTAGGGGGGAGGGGAGTGGTTTCCAGTATCCCAGTTCTAGGATCTACTGGTTCCTGCAGGGAGGGGTGCAGGGTCTCTGGTTTCATGGCTCCATCCAGGGTGCATGGGGTCTTCTTGTTTTGACAAACGGACATAGGATGCGGTTCCCATCATCATGCTCATATATTTATCACTATAGTTTCTCAGAGCCCCAAGTGTGAGCTACAGTATACACACAGAACAAAGTGCTGGTCCTAACCCCAAAGAAACTACAACAATTTCTGTAACATGAATTAAAGTATAGGCAAAGTATTTTATCATGGCCTTGTGAAAAAAAGGCTAATTTTGGATAATGCTGCATCCAGCCATGTATAAGCTATAGGAAAAAATACCAGATTTTGTAACGTGCTAAGTAGGAACAGGCTATGTTTTGTTTTGTTTTTTCCCCTAGGAAATAGTTTATTTGCCAAACATACAGCTCCAGCTTTAAATCAGTTAATAGCTTCAGCCAAATTAAAAATGAAGGAAGAGTGTTTGGAAATGTTGAAATCTTTGAAGAATCTGTTGTACGCTGTATAAAATAATTAAATAATTGTTGATAGAGAGGATTTTCTGAAGATAGAGAAAATTTTATTGAAACCTGGGGGCTATGGCATCAGCTAGAAATGAGAGCACGAAACTGGTTAAAGTTCCTGAATCAATGATCACTTAGGATGATAGAAAGTAACCCATCTTCACTAGCCACACTCTGACATCATTGCTTTTTCAGACAGAAAGACAAAAGAAGGAAAGTTAGGAAGCAGTCTCTCTCCCTCCACATTGCACCTCTTGCAAACCTAAGCTGCCATCAACTCTTATTAACACTGCATTCAGTCTATCAGTGGGGCTGTGTTGTCCTCTCCCAACCCACTGCCCACCTAGTTTTTCCCCTTTCATAATCATAACTCAAGAAGAATAGCTGCAGCATAACTAGAAGGTAGAAATCAGAGAGGGCTTTTCACTGGGAAAAAAAAAGAAGCAAGAGAACAGTCTGAAAGTTAAGGATCAAAGAAATATAGGTTCAAACCTAGCGCTGCCAGATTTAGAGCAAAGACTTGAACCCACGGACTGCCCTATGTAGTTGGTAGAGCCATCTCTTGTTGGAGCTGTTCAACTTCGTATGAACAACTAAATATGTATTTGGCCAAGCAGAACATAATAGAAAGATGCACCTGATTGCAAAAAGTTAGAGAATTTCCCTTGACTATGGGAGAGCCAGGAACTACTTCCTAGTCCTAATCTGGTAGAGTAGAGGCTGGAACCCAGGTCTACAAAATCCCAAGTAAATACTTTGGTCATTGTTTTTGTTGACTAATCAGGACATATACCATGGTATGTTTATTCTGCCTCTGGGGTGATACCAAGATAGCAGTCAAGAAATACATGCCACTCTGCCTGCATATGCTGTTGCCTGAAAAAATGTTGTTTAGTTACTTTTCAGTTGGGATGCTTTCATGATCTCAGAATCGGGGTTGCTCCTGAGAGCAACACAAGGCTTCCCTGGCCCTCTTCTAAAAGTGACCATATGATATGTTTCTAATACATACTTATACTCCCAGAAGGCACACAGGGCGCTTCTACACATGATGCAAA